CCTCACTCAATAGTCATTGGTCAGATTCTTTTCTGCAAATCTAGAAAGCCGTGATGGCGTGCTATTCAACTGTAGGGTGTGGGAGGAATCACAGGCCAGGCTGATTCTATTCTCCTTCACATTGAACACATTGGAGGAGCACTCATCGAATGGTGAAAGGCAGAGGGGATCCTCCTCAATCAAGAGGACCTGGGTTCGATTCCTTTCTGGATGAAACCTTGGGCAAGTTTCCTTACTCCACCCGCCTCTGTTCACCTAAGAGTAAGTAGTTGATTGGTGGCATATTAATTGATTGGTAGATCACTTTTCTGGGGATAAGAATCTCTTAGAAAAATAATAATAATAATAATTTGGTCACTCAATCCACGACTGTTTGTGGGACACTGCTGTGCACAATTGGCTGCCGCATTTCACGCACAAAGTATAGAGTCAATTCACTTTATAATATATTCTGTGAAGCGCTTTAAGACGTCTCAAAGACACGATGAGGCTCTATATTAAATGCAAGGATTATTATTATTATATAACCAGAGATCTTCCTAGTTTGTGAAACACAGTAAACACTATTTACAAAACCATTGGGGGGGGCAGTCCTGGGTTCTTCAGAATTGTTTTAAAAAAAGAAAGTTCAATTATCGATGCTCTCAGAGACTACTCTTTCTATCTGCTCACTCTCTCTTTAAGGGGCTCCAGTGATTTCAACTACAGGATAGGGAGAGAGGAATGGATATTCTGGAATAGCTGCATTCATTGTACAGTGGGACCCCCGTTATAACACCATGATTTAGTTCCTACATAAAATCAGAGCGTGTGTTATATTCTGCTGGAATCAAAGCCTTCAGTACGCAGTAAAAATTTAGAGCATTACAACAACAACAACTTGGATTTGTATAGCGCCCTCCATGCCGGACGGCATCTCAGAGCGCTTCACAGTAACGGATCCTGGGACCGAGCCGGGGGAGTGGGGGAAGGTGACCAAAGGTGCGGTCGAAAAGAAAGCTCTTCAGCAGAGAGCTAAAAATAGGAAGGGAGGGAGTGAGGAAGGGAGTTCCAGAGCCTCCGGGCATAGTGGCTGAAGGCACGGCCGCCGAGGGTGGAACTGAGGACTCGGGGGAAGAGGAGGAGGCCAGACCCAGAGGAACGAAGGCAATAGGTACTGTTTTGAGGAGAGAGGAGGTCAGAGAGGTAGGGGGGGTACAGCGGAGTGCAGGGACTTGAATACAAGGGTGAGGATCTTGAAGCTGATCCGGGACAGGCAGCCAGTGCAGTCTGGCAAGGACTGGGGTGATCGGGGAGCGGAGTTTCGTGTGGGTGAGAATGCGGGCGGCAGAGTTTTGAATGATCTGGATTTTATGGATGGTGGTGGATGGGAGACTGGTGAGGAGGGGGTTAGAGTAGTCCAGCCGAGAGGTGACAAAGACATGGACCAGGGTTTCAGCGGCTTTTGGGGAGAGATATTGGCGGAGACAGGGATGTGGTGGAGGTGCTGGTGAGGGAACGGATGTGGGGGAGGAAGGATAAATGGAGGTCGAACCTGACGTCGAGGTTGCGTACGGGTTCGGAGAGTTTTAGGGGAAGGTTGGGTAGGTGGAGGAGGTGAGAGCCATGAGATTTTAGACGTTGACGAGAGCCAAAGGTATGGCTTCCGTCTTCTCAACGTTCAGCTGAAGGAAATTTGCGCTCATCCAGCCCCTGAGGTCTGACAGGCAGGCTGTCGGAACATCAGGGGACTGGGGGTCGCAAAGAGAGGTGGAAAAATAGAGTTGGGTGTCGCCTGCATACATGTGGAAGTGTATCCCATGTCTGCGGATGACATCCCCAAGAGGGAGCATATAGATCAGAAAGGAGGGGCGGAGAGGTCCAGGAGGACAAGGAGGCAGAGGGAGCCCTGGTCACAGATAGAGAGGATGTCGTTTATGACTTTCACAAGCGCAGTCTCTGTAGTGTGGGCAGGGCAGAAACCGGACTGGTGGGTTCGAAGAGGGAGTGGGAGGAGGTGTGCACTAAGTTGGTTGGCAACAACGCCTTCTAGAACTTTTGAGAGGAAGGGCAGGTTAGAATAGGGCGGTGCCCTATTTAGATGTGCCTCAGGATCAACCATAAATTGGTTGATCAGTGGCTTTCTCAATGGACATCCAGCTTGATAGACATAAATATATAATAATCCTTGCATTTGATATAGTGCCTTATCACATCTTCGCGATGTCTCAAAACGCTTAACAGAATATATTGTAAAGTGAACAGACCCTATATTTTGTGGGCTAAACGCAGCAGCCAATTGCGCACAGCAGTGTCAAGCAAACATTAAGTGACCAATTCTTTTTAAAGAAATTATTACTCCCAGAAATTCCCTTTTTCAGCGTGGGCCATTGTATTCAAGTTATTTGACATCAAGTGGATCTGCTTATGATTTCAGAACGACTGGATGATTTCACACTGAAAAAACTTTGGGTTCCCTCTGCTTGGATTCATTTCCCTGGAGTAATATTCAAGTATTTGATCCCAGACTCTCGCCCCCAAATCTTTTCATCTCTCATCGGATCAGTAAGTCTCCTGTTCTAACCTCTTCCTCTTTAAGTTTTGCAAATGATTCACTACGAGGTGACATCCCTTGTTGGTCGTGAGCTCCTCAGTTTCAATGTCTGGCCTTTTGGAATACCCTGATCTACTTCTTTTCGAGTCTCCCTGGAATAATTTTCCTAAATAAGTCATCAATGCACAGTCTGTCCTTTTTTGCAAAATTACTGTGTTCTTGATCTAAAACTAGTTTTATTGATGTTATCGCTGGGCCTTCTTGTTACGTGCCTTGAGGTTGACGTTTACCACCCTTTCCCTGGATCCTTTAAAAGGTAAAAATAAGAGTTTTAAACTTTTATGGGTTACAGTGCAACATGGTGTTATTGAACAACTGGGCATCTTATTTGAAATAAACTACTGTAAAGAAGAAATGCTTTCAATAAAGTTTCAAAACTTGTGTGCTAATGTTTTACTATGAATCACACATTCAACCTCTTCTGTTGAAATAGTTTGGTACTGAGTGAAACCTTGCGATATTTATATAACGGGTCTAAAGTAATTAACCCATCTTTTCTTTGGCTAAAACAGCAGCTTCAATTCTAACAGTTATTACTATAAATACCACTACTATTAGCTTATGAAATTCAAAGCAGCTGAAGACGTATAGTAGATTAAACAAGGTATCTGACCAGCAATAGTCAGTAAATCTATTCAATCTGCAAACAGTCATCACTATATTCTCACAGTCCCATTACTTTACATTGCTGGAAGCAGCTTTTGGATTTCTTTAAACCAACAGTTTCCAATAATTTTTCCATCAAAGGGAATGATTTTAAGCACAGCAATTAGCACCACCAATTAGATATTCCATATTTAAGATCAATAAGTACAACAGTCCAAAATCATCCTTATTTCCCTAATGTTCAACTAAACTGATACAATTCAGGCAGAATAAGGAAGTCCTTCCAAATGAATCATCCTTGAATTGGTTCCCAAACCTATACTACTCAACCTTTGGATTGCCGTGCAATTACTATTCAAAGTAAGTGAAATTGAAACAGATATTTGCAGCAAAAGCAAAAGTAATTTGGCCCTTTGTTCGCCCACAAAATATGTAGTCACTGCACTATACAGTGTGTCCTGTGAAGCACTTTGAGACATCCTCCTTCAATGAAGTAAGTGAAAAGAGCAGGAGAGTGGGATTAATTGAACACACAAAAATGGACAACTGCATGGAGTGAGTGCACCTTTCATTTTTCATATATTTGAAAGAGATTTGGATAGAGCCATGTGCTATCAATGCAGCATCATTTGCAGATACATGAGAGGTGGGAAAGATGCATAGACAAAGTGTTCAGTGGACAAGACTACCTAGCAAATCTAACTGCAAAACTAGTAACCCATTGTCTGGATTCACCACCATTTATAGGAACCGGTTTAAAGTGGCCCACAAGCTTTACACAAGCCTTGCACGCAATTCCTCAAAACATTTCCAGAGATTTTTGAACCATGAGCAAGAGGGTGGTCTCAATTAAAACCCGATTATTGGTTCAATGTCGTCTTTCTGCAAACTGAGGGATTTGTTTCGGCAATAGGACTACCAGCAGTGATACTGATGGTCCCAAACAACCTCCCAGGTGAAATTTAATGAAAAAGATGCACAATCAGAAAGAAAAAATAAAGTCACTATACTTTCACCACTGTTAAGCGCTCTGAGACGCTGCCCTGCGTGGAGGGCGCTACGTAAGTGTAAATTGTGGTCGTTGACAGTATATACAATACATAATTACATTTGTATAGCGCCTTTCACGTTGAGAGGACGACCCAAGGAACTAGACAGTCAGGAATTTGGATCAATATATCCAGTGAGCCATCCTCCAGAAAATATATATCAAATGCAAGGATGGTTATTAAAGCAGATTTTAAATTTATATTTAACTCTATAGAGATTACGTGTACTTTTTCCAAAGTCTCATTTAAAGATGCAGAAAAAAAACTTCGTTGAAGAATCCATCGTATAATCTCTCAATGGAATCAGAACAAGTCAATTTACTCTGATGACACCCAATTTTTTTTTAAACTTTTGTTCAGCCAAATTACAGATTACAAATTACAGATGCAGAAACCCATTAACATGCATAAGAGTATCCAAACCAAACAGAGAATTCCATGCGTTGCACCTACATGTGGAAATTCCAGAGCTGGAGATATTTACGGAGCACATCCACTACCTAGCACTGACATCACTGACTGAGCCCGGACTTTTTCAAGAACAACAAATTACGTTTTTCGGACTGGTTGGAAGCACGGTTTGCAATAGTCTGAATTTTTACAGTATAATTGTAATTTAATATCTTGCTTCACCTGTATTATTGCCCAACATGTAATCTATATTAATTGCCTTCTATGAACATTGATTGCTACAGGTAAATTTTTGTAACCAGATTGGCACCCTTATCCATCTCAACAGACAATCATCTTACCTGATCACTCTTCCCCAGCTCCAACTCCACAATCGCAACTGGTGCATTAATTTGATCCAAATGCCTGGACTGACTCTTCAGATCAACTCTCCAGCTCAGGCTCTTCAGGGAGTTTTCCCACCTGCTCTGATTGACGAGGCTCTCTCGGATTTTGAGCTTATGATTTTTCCAAAACTTTGTTAAGACTGTGGCCTGCTCTGGCGTGATCCCTCTTTGCTTTTTGGTCTGGGCTGTCAAGAATGCTTCCAACTGGTTGAAGTCCATGTCTGCAGATGCTATGGACTGTTGAAACAAAACTCAGTTTAGACCATCCTATCCATCTTATACAAAGGCTTTTTTTTGTCACCTGTGTGTCTGACACATGCAGAAAACCATCACCGCGCTACGGAGTATCCAAACCATCCTGAGAATTCTGTGCATCCCACACACACATGGAAACTCCAGAGAGATTGTTGGAATGGAATGCGCACTCTCTCTCTCTCTCTCTCTCTCTGGATGGACACATCCCGCCTACCTAATTCCGGAAAGTATTAGACGCAGTTTGGCAAGAGCCAAGGCTTGGAGAGCCCAGAGTCTGTGTTGCGGGTACTGCTGGAGCCCACCCAACTAAAACCGCGTAGCTTGCCATTGTTATTAATGTCTGGCAAGCTTTCCTGCTGCTTGTCTAACCGTTGGGGCTTTGGCTTGCAGGGTTAATAGGAGCTGAGTGGGATGATTCCCTGCCACCAGTTCCTGTTAACTCTGCAAGCTGAAGGTGGACCGAGGGTGGTCGTAACTGGACTAGCAGCAGGGAGCTTGCTAGATAGACAGTACTCTTGATGGCAAGCTATACGGTTTTAGCTGGTTAAATTCCAGCAGCACTGAAACATGCACACCCCAAACCATAGCTCTTGCCAACCTGCAACTTACACTCTCCAGAATTAGGTAAGGAGCGTGTACTCCATTCCAGATACAGGGAAATGTGTAGGTGACATTTCCCTGTATCTGGAATGGAATGCGGAACTTCCAATCCGGTCAGGTTACTCTTACGCATTGTGATAGGTTTCCATGTGTCACCAAAAAAAAGAGCTCTTGCTCAACTAAAATAAGAAAAAGGATAGGATGTACTCTCAACAAAGATTAAAAACCCGATTTTATCATCAGATGAGATATATTGCAAAAGGCACATAATATCTTTCCACCACCGCTGCACAATTCAAACTTTTAGTAAATACCTCGAATTTAAAAATGTAATTTAAAACTCATTAATAATATAATAATAATCATTCTTAATTCTGGTTCTCAACCTATTCAATAGGCTACTTGTTAAGGTAATTTTACAACAACAACTTGTATTGATATAGCACTTTTCACACAGGGTGGAGATTCAGAACACTTGAAGAATTTTCAGCGTCTTCATACACAATAGATATAGAAATTTTCAATGCAAGAGGAAGCCATTTAGCCCCTTGTGTCTGCTACTTTACTTTTTAAAAAATGCCCTTTTTTTATTAATCTCACATTCCAGTTCTTTCACTATGATGGTAAAATGTGTTTACTATCAACCCACCCATGTTATAAAAAAACCCAACTCTCTCAAATAGCTCATTTGCCACGAATGCAGAACGTCCAGTGCAAACCAAATTCGTCTCCCTCCACGCCCCACCCCAGCACCCAGCTAAAAGCTCTCCACAACAACAACAATAATAACAATAATAACAACAATAACAAGATTACATTTGTATTACGCCTTTCACGTCGGGAGGATGTCCCAAGGCTGCAATCAATAATCAAGAGAAAAGAAATCTGTAAAATAAGCGCACGTCTCTATTCAATAGCCCACTTTTCTCGCCCGATCAACAACCACCCCCTACTCTCTCAGCATAGAAACCGTGGTGTATCGAGTACATATTTGTTTATCTCGGCCTTCATCTACCCCGATATCACCCTTTAGCAGTTTTGCAGTCAAATTGAAACTACCTCAATTGAAGTTCCAATGTTGGGTTTGAACTCACAACCTTCTGACACTGTGCCAGGCTTATATACATTAGACAAGTTTGAATCGCCATCAACACCATAAGCAAGTAGCATATAATTCCAGAAAAAACTGAGGGGGGGGGACATCTCATAACTGCTCATGAATAATAATCTATCCCCTAACATTTATCCACTAAAAAAGCATTAGCTTCAGTCGTGAATTCCATTTCTCTGCCAAGGTTTCCCATAAATGTATCTGGTTTTGCTGCAGCCTACAAAACCTTCAACCACCAAGAAATATGAAACGTCTGCATGGATGCCTGCGGCCAAACACCAGGAACAGAGCAGCATATTTGGAGCAAAAGATGCAAAATGCCTTTCTTTTTTGTAATATTTTTCTAACCATTTGCTTAGTCAAGTCATCTGACCATCAGTCTTTTTAGGGGTTAAAGAAAACAAAACGGCAGTCATTACTGACTTGTGTTTGTACACTACTTAAGTATTCGTAGGTTGCAGACAACAGCATTAAAGAAAATGTCTGCTTTCTCTGAGAGACTAATGTAATTGCGATCTCCCGTATTCCCATTGGTAAATCAAGTTAGCAGCTAATGATTCTTTTCCCAGAAACGTTGATGTAATTATGAGCTGCGCTAAATGCATTATTCAGAAGCACTTCTTGAAAATAAGCAGGTCTCCTGTTTGCTGCTTTTACTGTGAAATACTTTCAAGCCTCGTTCGCCTTTTTTCTTAAAAGGGCCGCAAACAACAACAATGCTACATTTGTATAGTGCCTTTCACGTCGGGAGGACGTCCAGCATTTCAGACCTGAGCTGGGGTTAGGGAGGGAGAAGGGAGGGGAGGGGAAGGGGGGTGGCCGATGGCATAGTCGAAGAGGGGGGTCTTGAGGCGGGACTTGAAGGAAGCTAAGAAGGGGGCGAGGCGGAGTGATTGGGGAAATTGGATGGAATTCCAGAGGTTGGGGGCAGAGTGGCTGAAGGCTCTCCCGCCAATGGTGGGGCGGTCAGGGGACATGAAGCAGGCCACTGAATTTCAGGTACACCACCCATCACTGAAGCAAATTTTGTTAGTTTATATTTGACTGAGCTGTTCATTAATATCGAGTGATGAAAAGCACAAATAGAACAATCCACCAGTACATCTAACTCCAGCTTCCCACATCATTTAGAATTTCTGCCTGTGAGTCACAAAAGATACAGGGTCGATTATATCTCAAATAGATCATGTTTCTAGCCAACAGGAAACAATTTCCACAGTCCTGAAGCTGTTACAATGTCGGAACTAAAGTTTCAAGGTTCCGCCTATCCGTGACATTGAGAATATGCTCATCATAGTGTAAACATGTAGTACGATCATGCCACAAATAGGATCTGATTGTTGCTGTATACCATGTTTTAATATAGTGGTATGCGCTGCAGGAAGCTGGCCAGTCATTGTCTTATACACAAAGTTGCAAGATACTGAAGAGAGTTATACAGTACAAAATTACACTTGTAAAGCGCCTTTCACGTCGGTAGGACGTCCCACGGCGCTGACCAGTCAGGGATTAGGACCCGAGCGGGAAGTTGGGATCAGGGAGGGTGGAGGGCGGGGGTAGGAGAGTGGCTGAAGGCACGGTCAAAGAGGAGGGTCTTGAGGCATGTTTGAAGGAGGCAAGGGAGACAGCGAGGTGAAGGGAATGTGGGATGGAGTTCCAGATGGTGGGAGCTGAAAGGCTGAAGGCTCGATCGCCAATGGTAGATTAGAGTAGGACAGAACCTGCCGAGCGGAGGGAGGGGACAGGTTGATAAGGGGTTAGCAGGTCGCAGAGGGCAAGGCCATGGAGGGCCTTGGAGGTGAGGATGAGAATTTTGAACTCGATCCTCTGAGGGATGGGGAGCCAGTGGAGACGGGCGAGGGTGGGTGTGATGGGGTCACGGAGCCTGGTGCAGGAGAGGACACGAGCTGCAACAATTCTGGATGATCTGCAGCTTGTGGAGGGAAGAGTTGGGAAGACTAACAAGCAGGGTGTTGGCATAGTCAAGCCTGGTTGTAAATGAAGCCATGTACGAGGGATTCAACAGCCTGAGGGGTGAGGCAATGGCGGAGTGGGGCAATGTTGCGGAGGTGGAGGAAGGCAGAGCAGGTCATGGCATGGATGTGGGGGAGAAAGGCCAGTTGAGGGTCGAACAAGATTCCTCGGTTCCTGACTGACTTGGTGAAGTGGAGTGTGCATCCGTGGATACTGATGCTGCCAATGCCTGAGGTGCGGAGGCCCTGGCGCGCGCGCCAATCAGGAGAGCCTCAGTCTTGCTGACGTTCAACTGTAGAAAGTTAGCTTTTATCCAGGACACGAGGGTCATAGTGGGAGGGAGGACATACAGATTCCAGCAAAAATATAACTTGCATTGAAACAGTCAAGTATAGCCTCACCAAATCTCTAGACGAGCCATGGGGTGTATTTTGGCCTCAACACCCACAGCTTCCCAGGGGCACAATGTAAACAGCACTTTCTAGAATTTCAGTAGACATCACCCAGTATACTCTAGATAGTTTTTCTTCCACTTAGGAATTAGTTTTCGTTCAGTTAGGGGTTATCCTAGACAGCAGGATGTTCATCAATGGGTACCAAAGATCCCCTTGGAAAAGGGACAGGCTTTCACCCAAACGTCTAGCACAAAGCTCAGAGGCTCATCTGAAAAGCGCCGACATTGAGAGGGGAATTTCAATCATGCTTTTGAGACAAGCCCAGAGGATGGTAAATGTCAGTCACGACCACAAGACTGCTGATCCCTCTTACATGAAATTGCAGATGAGAGGCAAACCACAGGAATGAAATGAAACATTTCTAGGCATCATAAAATCCAGTGTACATATTGCTTCTGGATGGATTTTCGTAATCTTATAATCTCCATTATTCACGGACACAACACATAAAAACAATTAAGTATGCCTGCTTGTCAACATCGATTCTCCTCTGAGAGGAAGTAGCTCTTGTTCTATGCCAGGCAGCATCTTCACAAAGATGCTTTAAAGCTGGAAGCTTACACTCTGCAGAACAATCTGAAACGATTTACAACTGCAAGAGAACAGTTGATTGCTAACCACGCTACACCTCCTGTCAGAAACATAGGCTGCTTAGAAAAGGAAAGGATATCCCCGTCAACATGTACACCTTTTCAGAAAAATCAATTGTGCCTGTCATCTGCCTGCTCAAAGTTGCTCAAACATTAAAAAAAATACAAGCAGAACAATATGAAGAAGTTGCTAAATGCACAAAGCCAAACTTGAAAAATTTTACCACTTTTTCTCATCCTCATTTCTTCGCT